TGATATTAAAAATATTTATTTATAAATTAATTTTTAATATGTTAAATAGTAAATACTAAGTATTTTATCTATTAGAAATTATTTTAATAATTAAATTAAAATAAAATTTTAACTATTGTTAGTAACCCCCTCCTAACAAATTAAATAAGGGATGGGACATGTGGTTTTGGCCACACAAATTTGTTGACTTTAAACTTTAATCTTCAAATTATATTGGATCATAAAATATAAATTGATATAAGAAGATAACTTTTAATTTTAAGGAATTTAATTCTCATTAAAGAATTTTTATCATGTAGTTTAATACAATCAAACTGCACAATATTTTTTTTAAAAGAATAATCTTTGTTTTGAGCAAAAAGACAGTGATTTGTAGAGGATATGTCCAACTCAATGAGTATTTGAATGGACCAAAAATGATATTGAAACTTAATACCCAGCTTGACAATGTTTTGTGATTATTACTTTTAATATTGCATTGTAGTTGACAATAACAAGCAATCTACATCTTAATACAGCCGACTGAAGAGATATGCAAATGCACAACATGACCAAAAGGCATGTTACGTGATGCATGACCTTGCCGGGTACATATTCAAAATTTCTGTTTACAAAGCTGGTCCAAAACTCAACATTCTCTAGAGCGAGCGTGGACTCAGGTGTGGATGTGCAACAGGCTGAGAGGGAAAGGTATTCTTTAAACTGTTCAAACGTATAATGCACTGTAGTATCATATCTATCCTATACAACACTACCACTGTATTTGCATATATTAATTTAAAATACTTGACACTTTCAATGGACTACAATGGTTACAATTTAAAAGCACGATTTGGACAAGCATTACAATAGTATTTGAATTGATTGTGAATGTTGATATTTTCAATTTAGATTACAAACCTTTGAGAAATAAAGAATATTTTTGTGAAGTATGAGGGGATCGATCCCACATTTTAGAAGCGTATGGAGTACCACAGGTTAAAAGAAAGCCAAATTTTAGACTTCCATTAATAATATGCAAACAAACAAGACATAGGGCACAAGGCACTGGGAATAGGCAACACATCCTCTTCGAAAAAGCTTTAGTACTTTTGGAATAATAAATGAATGAAAGGTTCTTATTTGTCTCAATGGAGACTTAGACTAGAGAA